AAGGGTCCAGAGACCATATTTGCTGGTCAGAACCTGAATGATAATGAGTGGCACACGGTGCGTGTGTTCAGGAGGGGAAAGAGTTTGAAACTCACCGTAGATGATCTTCAACCTGTAGAAGGTACAACTTCCCTCTCTTTAAAGAACTGACTATGTTTTATATGTGTGATACTTTTCAAGATGATCCTTTGGCCCTTTATATGTAAGACACAGTTTGACTATGGACTAGGTCAGACAATCGGTCGGGTCTAGTCCATAATGTCTGATATAAAATCAATCCTTTTGGGGCTAGTTTCCCAGACAGAGATTTAAACTATAGTCTTGGACTAGTTTCAAATTTCAAAGTTTATTCACCATGTGCACAGGATACAGCAGGTGCAAAACAGTACAATGAAATTCTTACTTGCAGCTCTTTCCAATGCAGTGATAATAATAATAATATAGATTTTTTTTGTTTGTTTAATACAAACACAAGAGTTAATAAAGATATGAGATACAATAAAGAAACATAAGAGTATATACAGGTCAGTATACAGGTCAGTATAAAGATATGAGATAAGATACAGAAACACAATACAGGTCAGTATATACAGGTCAATATACAGGTCAGTATACAGGTCAGTATACAGGTCAGTATATACAGGTCAGTATATACAGGTCAGTATATACAGGTCAGTATATACAGGTCAATATACAGGTCAGTATACAGGTCAGTATATACAGGTCAGTATACAGGTCAGTATATACAGGTCAGTATATACAGGTCAGTATATACAGGTCAGTATACAGGTCAGTATATACAGGTCAATATACAGGTCAGTATACAGGTCAGTATACAGGTCAGTATATACAGGTCAGTATATACAGGTCAGTATATACAGGTCAGTATATACAGGTCAGTATACAGGTCAGTATATACAGGTCAGTATATACAGGTCAATATACAGGTCAGTATACAGGTCAGTATACAGGTCAGTATATACAGGTCAGTATATACAGGTCAGTATATACAGGTCAGTATATACAGGTCAGTATACAGGTCAGTATATACAGGTCAGTATACAGGTCAGTATATACAGTACCAGTCAAAAGTTTGCACACCTACTCATTCAAGGTTTTTTTTTTATTAGATTTTTTATTTTACATTGTAGAATAAAAGTGAAGACATCAAAACTATGAAATAACACAAATGGAATCATGTAGTAACCAAGAAAGTGTTAAACAAATCAAAATATATTTTATATTTGAGATTCTTCAAATAGACACCCTTTGCCTTGTTGGCATTCTCTCAACCAGCTTCATGAAGAAGTCACCTGGAATGCATTTCAATTGACAGGTGTGCCTTCTTAAAAGTTAATTTGTGGAATTGATTTCCTTCTTAATGTGTTTGAGCCAATCAGTTGTGTTGTGACAAGGTAGACAAGGTAGTATACAGAAGATAGCCCTATTTGGTAAAAGACCAAGTCCATATTATGGCATGAACAGCTCAAATAAGCTAAGAGAAACAACATTCCATTATTACTTTAAGACATGAATGTCAGTCAATACAGAAAATGTCAAGATCTAAGAAAGTTTCTTCAAGTGCAGTCGCAAAAACCATCAAGCGCTATGATGAAACTGGCTCTCATGAGGACCACCACAGGAATGGAAGACCTAGAGTTACCTCTGCTGCAGAGGATAAGTTCATTAGAGTTACCAGCATCAGAAATTGCAGCCCAAATAAATGCTTCACAGAGTTCAAGTAACAGACACATCTCAACATCAACTGTTCAGAGGAGACTGAGTGAATCAGGCCTTCATGGTCGAATTGCTGCAAAGAAACCACTACTAAAGGACACCAATAAGAAGAAGAGACTTGCTTGGGCCAAGAAACACAAGCAATGGACATTAGACCGGTGGAAATTTGTCCTTTGGTTTGGAATCCAAATTGGAGATTTTTTGTTCCAACTGCTGTGTCTTTGTGAGATGCAATGTGGGTGAACGGATTATCTCCGCATGTGTATTTCCCACCGTAAATCATGGAGGAGGAGGTGTTATGGTGTAGGGGTGCTTTGCTGGTGACACTGTCTGTTAATTATTTAGAATTCAAGGCACACTTAACCAGCATGGCTACCACAGCATTCTGCAGCGATACGCCATCCCATCTGGTTTGGGCTTAGTGGGACTATCATTTGTTTTTCAACAGTACAATGACTCAACACACCTCCAGGCTGTGTAAGGGCTATTTTTCCAAGAAGGAGAGTGATGGAGTGCTGCATGAGATGACCTGGCCTCCACTATCCCCCGACCTCAACCCAATTGAGATGGTTTGGGATGAATCAGACCGCAGAGTGAAGGAAAAGCAGCCAACAAGTGCTCAGCGTATGTGGAAACTCCTTCAAGACTGTTGGAAAAGCATTCCAGGGGAAGCTGGTGGAGAGAATGCCAGGAGTGGCTATTTGAAGAATCTCAAATATAAAATAGATTTTCATTTGTTTAACACTTTTTTGGTTACTACACGATTCCATATGTGCTATTCCATATGTGTTTTGATGACTTCACTATTATTCTACAATTTAGAAAGTAGTGAAAATAAACAAAAACCCTTGAACGAGCAGGTGTGTCCAATCTTTTGACTGGTACTGTACAGGTCAGTATACAGGTCAGTATATACAGGTCAGTATACAGATCAGTATATACAGGTCAGTATACAGGTCAATATACAGGTCAGTATGTACAGGTCAGTATACAGGTCAGTATATACAGGTCAGTATACAGATCAGCAAACAGGTCAGTATATACAGGTCAGTATATACAGGTCAGTATATACAGGTCAGTATACAGGTCAATATACAGGTCAATATATACAGGTCAGTATACAGATCAATATACAGGTCAGAAAACAGGTCAGTATATACAGGTCAGTATATACAGGGCAGTATATACAGGTCAGTATATACAGGTCAGTATACAGGTCAGTATATACAGGTCAGTATACAGGTCAGTATATACAGGTCAGTATACAGGTCAGTATATACAGGTCATACTCAATGTGCAGGATACTGGAGTGGTTGAATTGGGCTTATACATAAACATAGACATAGACTAGGAATATATTTCAACATTGAGCATGCTTGGTAGTCCAGGATTAGTCTTAATCTGTGTTGGGAAGCGAACCCTTTGTGTATAAACCCATTGTTTTTCACACATACAGTACCTTTCTACTACTGGACATTTGTAGCGCCAGACCTTTTGGAGCAGTGAGCGTGACATGAATGACCTCCCCCTACCCTTGTCTCTCCCCCCTCCCCCCCTCACCCCTCTCAATCTCCCTCCTGTCAATCTAAAGGTCAAATGGCAGGTGACCACACCCAGTTAGAGTTCCACAACATTGAGACAGGCATCGTGACGGAGAAGAGGTTCATGTCACTGGTGCCATCTAACTTCATAGGCCACCTCCAGAGCCTCTCCTTCAACGGCATGGCCTATATAGGTAGGTAGCCCAGAGGTTAGAGAGGTAGATCAGTAACTGGAAGGTCGCTGATTCAAGTCCCGGGCCAAGAGATGGAGAAGAGATGGTCTTCTTGTGTCATGTCATTAATAGCGCTGCTGTTGTACCCTTGAGCAAAGCACTTCACCCTAGAGATGGTGCTCTCTCTGGAGGTACATGGCTGAACTGTGCTTCTCATTGTGTGTCTGTTCTTGGGAAAAAGATAAACAAAGTATCTATTCTATTCTCTCTATAGACCTGTGTAAGAACGGCGACATTGACTACTGTGAGCTCAATGCCATGATCGGCTTCAAGAACATCATTGCTGACCCGTTCACGTTCAAGTCTCGGTCGAGCTATGTGTCTCTGACCACCCTCCAGGCCTACTACTCAATGCACCTGTTCTTCCAGTTCAAGACCACCTCGTCAGATGGACTCATACTGTTCAACAGCGGGGACGGAAACGACTTCATTGTGGTCGAGCTGGTCAAGGGGTAGGTTATCACGACATATTGTACTGTAGGATAGTAATTCATATTGAAGGGAGGAGCGTGTGTGTGTGTGTTTGTTTCTGCATCATTATTCATGTGACTACCTGCCTTTTTCCAGCTACCTGCACTATGTATCAGACCTGGGGAACGGAGCTCACCTGATCAAGGGCAACTCCAACAAGCCCCTGAATGATAACCACTGGCACAACGTCATGATCTCACGAGACACTAACAACCTCCACACCGTCAAGATCGACACCAAGATCACCACCCAGACCACCATGGGAGCCAAGAACCTGGACCTGAAGGGTAGGCTGCCTGGGGCTGGGGTTTTACGTTACTTTCTACTCTGACGGAGAGTGGCACTATGGGTAATGTCAGAGGAGGTTACTGGTCTGTTGTTGGACAGGGAGTCTTTTAATGACAGTCAGAGGAACGTCAGAGTCCTGTTAATGGAATTACTGTATCAGATCTAGACAAAAGTATGATACTTTTCATGCATGCAGTCTATATCAGTACCTATTATTTTCCACCTGGGGTCAGTGGTTCCACACTGGTCTATTACTGTATACAGTCGTGGTCAAAGAGCGCTGCTTCAGTGTTATGAGATATTTTTGTCAGATGTTACTATGGTATACTGAAGTATAATTACAAGCATTCCATAAGTGTCAAAGGCTTTTATTGACAATTACATTAAGTTTATGCAAAGAGTCAATATTTGCAGTGTTGACCCTTCTTTTTCAAGACCTCTGCAATCCGCCCTGGCATGCTGTCAATTAACTTCTGGTCTGATGGCAGCCCATTCTTGCATAATCAATGCTTGGAGTTTGTCATAATTTGTGGGTTTTTGTTTGTCCACCCGCCTCTTGAGGATCGACCACAAGTTCTCAATGGGATTAAGGTCTGGGGAGTTTCCTGGCCATGGACCCAAAATGTTGATGTTTTGTTCCCCGAGCCACTTAGTTATCACTTTTGCCTTATGGCAAGGTGCTCCATCATGCTGGAAAAGGCATTGGTCATCACCAAACTGTTCTTGGATGGTTGGGAGAAGTTGCTCTCTGAGGATGTGTTGATACCATTCTTTATTCATGGCTGTGTTCTTAGGCAAAATTGTGAGTGAGCCCACTCCCTTGGCTGAGAAGCAACCCCACACATAAATGGTCTCAGGATGCTTTACTGTTGGCATGACACAGGACTGATGGTAGCGCTCACCTTGTCTTCTCCGGACAAGGTGTTTTCCGGATTACCCAAACAATCGGAAAGGGGATTCATCAGAGAAAATGACTTTACCCCAGTCCTCAGCAGTCCAATCCCTGTACCTTTTGCAGAATATCAGTCTGTCCCTGATGTTTTTCCTGGAGAGAAGTGGCTTCTTTGCTGCCCTTCTTGACACCAGGCCATCCTCCAAAAGTATTTGCCTCACTGTGCGTGCAGATGCACTCACACCTGCCTGCTGCCATTCCTGAGCAAACTCTGCACTGGTGGTGCCCCAATCCCGCAGGAGACGGTCCTGGCGCTTGCTGGACTTTCTTGGATGCCCTGACGCCTTCTTCACAACAATTGAACCTCTCTCCTTGAAGTTCTTGATGATCTGATAAATGGTTGATTTAGGTGCAATCTTACTAGCAGCAATATCCTTGCCTGTGAAGCCCTTTTTGTGCAAAGCAATGATGACGGCATGTGTTTCCTTGCAGTTAACCATGGTTAACAGAGGAAGAACAATGATTTCAAGCACCACCCTCCTTTTAAAGCTTCCAGTCTGTTATTCTAACTCAATTAGCATGACAGAGTGATCACCAGCCTTGTCCTCGTCAACACTCTCACCTGTGTTAACGAGAGAATCACTGACATGATGGCAGCAGGTCCTTTTGTGGCAGGGCTGAAAAGCAGTGGAAATGTTTTTTGGGGGGGATTAAGTTCATTTTCATGGCAAACAGGGACTTTGCAATTAATTGCAATTCATCTGATCACTCTTACATTTTACATTTACATTTTAGTCATTTAGCAGACGCTCTTAACCAGAGCGACTTACAGGAGCAATTAGGGTTAAGTGCCTTGCTCAAGGGCACATTAACGTCATTTAGCAGACGCTCTTAGCCAGAGCGACTCACAAATTGGTGCGTTCACCCTATAGCCAGTGGGATAACCACTTTACAATTTGGGGGGGGGGGGGGGGGGGGGGGGGGGGGGTTAGAAGGAATACTTTAGCCTATCCCAGGTATTCCTTAAAGAGGTGGGGTTTCAAATGTCTCCGGAAGGTGGTGAGTGACTCCGCTGTCCTGGCGTCTTGAGGGAGCTTGTTCCACCATTGGGGTGCCAGAGCAGCGAACAGTTTTGACTGGGCTGAGCGGGAGCTGTGCTTCCGCAGAGGAAGGGGAGCCAGCAGGCCAGAGGTGGATGAACGCAATGTCCTCGTTTGGGTGTAGGGACTGATCAGAGCCTGAAGGTACAGGGGTGCCGTTCCCCTCACTGCTCCAAAGGCAAGCACCATGGTCTTGTAGCGGATGCGAGCTTCAATTGGAAGCCAGTGGAGTGTGCGGAGGAGGGGGGTGACGTGAGAGAACTTGGGAAGGTTGAACACCAGACGGGCTGCGGCATTCTGGATGAGTTGTAGGGGTTTAATGGCACAGGCAGGGAGCCCAGCCAACAGCGAGTTGCAGTAGTCCAGACGGGAGATGACAAGTGCCTGGACCAGGACCTGCGCCGCTTCCTGTGTAAGGCAGGGTCGCACTCTCCGAATGTTGTAGAGCATGAACCTGCAGGAGCGGGTCACCGCCTTGATGTTGGCGGAGAACGACAGGGTGTTGTCCAGGGTCACGCCTAGGCTCTTCGCACTCTGGGAGGAGGACACAGCGGAGTTGTCTACCGTGATGGCGAGATCATGGAACGGGCAGTCCTTCCCCGGGAGGAAGAGCAGCTCCGTCTTGCCAGGGTTCAGCTTGAGGTGGTGATCCGTCATCCATACTGATATGTCTGCCAGACATGCAGAGATGCGATTCGCCACCTGGTTATCAGAAGGGGGAAAGGAGAAGATTAGTTGTGTATCGTCAGCGTAGCAATGATAGGAAAGGCCATGTGAGGATATGACAGAGCCAAGTGACTTGGTGTATAGGGAGAAAAGGAGAGGGCCCAAAACCGATCCCTGGGGGACACCAGTGGTGAGAGCACGTGGTGCGGAGACAGCTTCCTGCCACGCCACTTGGTAGGAGCGACCGGTCAGGTAGGACGCAATCCAGGAGTGAGCCGCGCCGGAGATGCCCATTTCGGAGAGGGTGGAGAGGAGGATCTGATGGTTCACAGTATCAAAGGCAGCAGACAGGTCTAGAAGGACAAGAGCAGAGGAGAGAGAGTTAGCTTTAGCAGTGCGGAGAGTCTCTGTGACACAGAGAAGAGCAGTCTCAGTTGAATGACCAGTCCTGAAACCTGATTGGTTTGGATCAAGAAGGTCATTCTGAGAGAGATAGCAAGAGAGTTGGCTAAAGACGGCACGCTCAATAGTTTTGGAAAGAAAAGAAAGAAGGGATACTGGTCTGTAGTTGTTGACATCAGTGGGGTCGAGTGTTGGTTTTTTGAGAAGGGGAGTAACTCTCGCTCTCTTGAAGACGGAAGGGACATGGCCAGCGGTCAAGGATGAGTTGATCAGCGAGGTGAGGTAGGGGAGAAGGTCACCGGAGATGGTCTGGAGAAGGGAGGAGGGGATGGGGTCAAGCGGGCAGGTTGTTGGGCGGCCTGCAGTCACAAGTCGCAGGATCTTATCTGGAGAGAGAGGGGAGAAAGAAGTCAAAGCATAGGGTAGGGCAGTGTGAGCAGGACCAGCAGTGTCATTAGACTTAACAAACAAGGATCGGATGTCGTCAACCTTCTTTTCAAAGTGGTTGACGAAGTCATCCACAGAGAGAGAGGAGGGGGGGGGGGGGGTGGAGGGAGGATTCAGGAGGGAGGAAAATGTGGCAAAGAGCTTCCTAGGGTTAGAGGCAGATGCTTGGAATTTAGAGTGGTAGAAGGTGGCCTTAGCAGCAGAAACAGATGAAGAAAATGTAGAGAGGAGGGAGTGAAAAGATGCCAGGTCGGCAGGGAATTTAGTTTTCTTCCATTTCCGCTCCGCTGCCCAGAGCTCTGTTCTGTGAGCTCGCAATGAGTCATCAAGCCACGGAGCTGGAGGGGAGGACCGAGCCGGCCGGGAGGATAGGGGACACAGAGAGTCAAAGGATGCAGAAAGGGAGGAGAGGAGGGTTGAGGAGGCAGAATCAGGAGATTGGAGGGAGAAGGATTGAGCAGAGGGAAGAGATGATAGGATGGAAGAGGAGAGAGTAGTGGGAGAGAGAGAGCGAAGGTTGCGGCGGCGCATTACCATCTGTGTAGGGGCAGAGTGAGTAGTGTGGGAGGAGAGTGAGAGAGAAAAGGAAACAAAGTAGTGGTCGGAGACTTGGAGGGGAGTTGCAGTGAGATTAGTAGAGGAGCAGCATCTAGTGAAGATGAGGTCAAGCGTATTGCCTGCCTTGTGAGTAGGGGGGGACGGTGAGAGGGTGAGGTCAAAAGAGGAGAGGAGTGGAAAGAAGGAGGCAGAGAGAAATGAGTCAAATGTGGACATAGGGAGGTTGAAATCCCCCAAAACTGTGAGGGGTGAGCCATCCTCAGGGAAGGAACTTATCAAGGCGTCAAGCTCATTGATGAACTCTCCAAGGGAACCTGGAGGGCGATAGATGACAAGGATATTAAGCTTAAATGGGCTAGTGACTGTGACAGCATGGAATTCAAATGAGGAGATAGACAGATGGGTTAGGGGAAAAATTGAGAATGTCCACTTGGGAGAGATGAGGATTCCTGTACCACCACCCCTCTGACCAGATGCTCTCGGGGTATGCGAGAACACATGGTCAGACGAGGAGAGAGCAGTAGGAGTAGCGGTGTTTTCAGTGGTGATCCATGTTTCCGTCAGCGCCAGGAAGTCGAGGGACTGGAGGTTGGCATAGGCTGGGATGAAGTCAGCTTTGTTGGCAGCAGAACGGCAGTTCCAGAGGCTGCCTGCGACCTGGAACTCCACGTGGGTGGTGCGTGCAGGGACCACCAGATTGGAGAGGCAGCAGCCACGCGGTGTGGTGCGTTTGTGTAGCCTGTGCAGAGAGGAGAGAACAGGGATAGGCAGAGGCATAGTTGACAGGCTGTAGCAAATGGCTACAAAAATGCAGAGGAGATCGGAATGAAATGGGCTAAGCATCTGGGAGTGGAGAGAGCAGGGCCTCCCTCACCAAAACTTCTACCTCGGAAACTAAAATTGTTTCACTGAACCACCCGAAGAAAAAACTCTCCCAACTTCCGCCTTTGGAAATCAGAATTGTTGTGAACCACAGCGGTTCAATGTTTAAAGGAGTAGACTCAACCCACTTTGTTCAGCTAGCCAACTATGACTCCATAGCCAACTAGCAGACTAGCATCCAATAACAATAGCACACCGTTTAGCGCCAACACTTGGTCACAACAAACCACCAATATTGTGATAACACACTAAACAGATCATTCGTGTCTGTGTCAAGTTCCTTACATGACGCAGCAATGATTAGACGTTGGCTAGCTAGGACAAGTAAATTGTGGTTAGCTACTTCAGTACAGCCAAATGGTCATGTTGGGTAGCTAGCAATGGCCACTGTGTCGACTCTGTTTGAAGAACGGCTAGCTAGCTAGCTTCGTGCTACAGCTGGCACGGCCGAGGACACTGCCAAGACACAGTAACTACCCACAACAACCCACGAAGCCTAGCTATGACGCCGTAGCCAACCTGCAAGCTAGCATCCATTAACACACAACTTAGCATCAACACCTGGCCACAACAAACTGCCAAGAGTGTGTCAGCACACCAAACAGACAATTCAAGTCCGTGTCAAATCAAATCAAATCAAATCAAATCAAATCAAATCAAATCAAATTTTATTGGTCACATGCGCCGAATACAACAGGTGCAGACATTACAGTGAAATGCTTACTTACAGCCCTTAACCAACAGTGCATTTATTTTAAACAAAAAAGTAAGAATAAAACAACAACAAAAAAGTGTTGAGAAAAAAAGAGCAGAAGTAAAAAATAAAGTGACAGTAGGGAGGCTATATATACAATAGAATAAAGTGACAGTAGGGAGGCTATATATACAGGGGGGTACCGTTGCATAGTCAATGTGCGGGGGCACCGGCTAGTTGAGATAATATGTACATGTGGGTAGAGTTAAAGTGACTATGCATAAATACTTAACAGAGTAGCAGCAGCGTAAAAAGGATGGGGTGGGGGGGCAGTGCAAATAGTCCGGGTAGCCATGATTAGCTGTTCAGGAGTCTTATGGCTTGGGGGTAGAAGCTGTTGAGAAGTCTTTTGGACCTAGACTTGGCACTCCGGTACCGCTTGCCGTGCGGTAGCAGAGAGAACAGTCTATGACTAGGGTGACTGGAGTCTTTGACAATTTTGAGGGCCTTCCTCTGACACCGCCTGGTATAGAGGTCCTGGATGGCAGGGAGCTTTGCCCCAGTGATGTACTGGGCCGTACGCACTACCCTCTGTAGTGCCTTGCGGTCAGAGGCCAAGCAGTTGCCATACCAGGCGGTGATGCAACCAGTCAGGATGCTCTCGATGGTGCAGCTGTAGAATTTTTTGAGGATCTGAGGACCCATGCCAAATCTTTTTAGTCTCCTGAGGGGGAATAGGCTTTGTCGTGCCCTCTTCACGACTGTCTTGGTGTGTTTGGACCATGATAGTTCGTTGGTGATGTGGACACCAAGGAACTTGAAGCTCTCAACCTGTTCCACTACAGCCCCGTCGATGAGAATGGGGGCGTGCTCAGTCCTCTTTTTTTTCCTGTAGTCCACAATCATCTCCTTTGTCTTGGTCACGTTGAGGGAGAGGTTGTTATCCTGGCACCACACGGCCAGATCTCTGACCTCCTCCCTATAGGCTGTCTCATCGTTGTCGGTGATCAGGCCTACCACTGTTGTGTCGTCGGCAAACTTAATGATGGTGTTGGAGTCGTGCCTGGCCATGCAGTCATGGGTGAACAGAGAGTACAGGAGGGGACTGAGCACGCACCCCTGAGGGGCCCCCGTGTTGAGGATCAGTGTGGCAGATGTGTTGTTACCTACCCTTACCACCTGGGGGCGGCCCGTCAGGAAGTCCAGGATCCAGTTGCAGAGGGAGGTGTTTAGTCCCAGGATCCTTAGCTTAGTGATGAGCTTTGAGGGCACTATGGTGTTGAATGCCGAGTTCCCTTCACAACGCAGCAAAAAAAAATAATAATAATAATAATAATAATAATAATTAAACGTTGGAACCAGCTCTCCAGCGTTGCTAATCGTTACCAATAGCTACCCGCTAGCTAGCTAGCTTCGTGCCTCAATTCTAACCCACAATTACCCACGGAAAGCTACAATAACAACAATACTAACCTACAATAAATACAATACCTAACTACAGCTAACTACCTACCTACGATCTAGTACATGGTTAAGCAAAAGTTAAACGTTGGGTAGGAGTACATTACCGTTGGAACCAGCTCTCCAGCGTTGCTAATCGTTACCAATAGCTACCCGCTAGCTAGCTAGCCTCATGCCTCGATACTAACCCACAAATTACCCACGGAAAGCTACAATAACAACAATACTAACCTACAATAAATACAATACCTAACTACAGCTAACTACCTACCTACGATCTAATACATGGTTAAGCTTTACTCAACACTACATGTAGCTTACCCCTACTTACCTCCAGCCAGAGAAAAACACGTCCTCTCCCGTCAGCCACTTGACATGACATTCTGGTGTATATGCAAATTGCCATCATCAAAACTGAGGCAGCAGACTTTGTGAAAATTAGTACTCGTGTCATTGTCAAAACTTTTGACCACGACTGTATATTTAACATTTTAGTCTTATAGCAGACACTCTTATCCGGAGCAATTTACAGTTAGTGCATTCATCTTAAAATAGCTAGGTGGGCCAGCCACATACAGTGGGGAAAAAAAGTATTTAGTCAGCCACCAATTGTGCAAGTTCTCCCACTTAAAAAGATGAGAGAGGCCTGTAATTTACATCATAGGTACACATCAACTATGACAGACAAATTGAGAAAAAATAATCCAGAAAATCACATTGTAGGATTTTTTATGAATTTATTTGCAAATTATGGTGGAAAATAAGTATTTGGTCACCTACAAACAAGCAAGATTTCTGGCTCTCACAGACCTGTAACTTCTTCTTTAAGAGGCTCCTCTGTCCTCCACTCGTTACCTGTATTAATGGCACCTGTTTGAACTTGTTATCAGTATAAAAGACACCTGTCCACAGCCTCAAACAGTCACACTCCAAACTCCACTATGGCCAAGACCAAAGAGCTGTCAAAGGACGCCAGAAACAAAATTGTAGACCTGCACCAGGCTGGGAAGACTGAATCTGCAATAGGTAAGCAGCTTGGTTTGAAGAAATCAACTGTGGGAGCAATTATTAGGAAATGGAAGACATACAAGACCACTGATAATCTCCCTCGATCTGGGGCTCCACGCAAGATCTCACCCCGTGGGGTCAAAATGATCACAAGAACGGTGAGCAAAAATCCCAGAACCACACAGGGGGACCTAGTGAATGACCTGCAGAGAGCTGGCACCAAAGTAACAAAGCCTACCATCAGTAACACACTACGCCGCCAGGGACTCAAATCCTGCAGTGCTAGACGTGTCCCCCTGCTTAAGTCAGTACATGTCCTGGCCCGTCTGAAGTTTGCTAGAGTGCATTTGGATGATCCAGAAGAGGATTGGGAGAATGTCATATGGTCAGATGAAACCAAAATAGAACTTTTTGGTAAAAAACTCAACTCGTCGTGTTTGGAGGACAAAGAATGCTGAGTTGCATCCAAAGAACACCATACCTACTGTGAAGCATGGGGGTGGAAACATCATGCTTTGGGGCTGTTTTTCTGCAAAGGACCAGGACGACTGATCCGTGTAAAGGAAAGAATGAATGGGGCCATGTATCGTGAGATTTTGAGTGAAAACCTCCTTCCATCAGCAAGGGCATTGAAGATGAAACATGGCTGGGTCTTTCAGCATGACAATGATCCCAAACACACCGCCCGGGAAACGAAGGAGTGGCTTCGTAAGAAGCATTTCAAGGTCCTGGAGTGGCCTAGCCAGTCTCCAGATCTCAACCCCATAGAAAATCTTTGGAGGGAGTTGAAATCCGTGTTGCCCAGCGACAGCCCCAAAACATCATTGCTCTAGAGGAGATCTGCATGGAGGAATGGGCCAAAATACCAGCAACAGTGTGTGAAAACCTTTTGAAGACTTACAGAAAACGTTTGACCTGTGTCATTGCCAACAAAGGTTATATAACAACGTATTGAGAAACTTTTGTTATTGACCAAATACTTATTTTCCACCATAATTTGCAAATAAATTCATAAAAAATCCTACAATGTGATTTTCTGGATTTTTTTTCTCATGTTGTCTGTCATAGTTGACGTGTACCTATGATGAAAATTACAGGCCTCTCTCATCTTTTTAAGTGGGAGAACTTGCACAATTGGTGGCTGACTAAATACTTTTTTTCCCCACTGTATCTCAGTCATAGTCAATCAATCAATCAATCAATCAATCAATTTTATTTTATATAGCCCTTCTTACATGATCTAATATCTCGAAGTGCTGTACAGAAACCCAGCCTAAAACCCCAAACAGCTAGTAATGCAGGTGTAGAAGCAGTAAGTGAATGTCAGTGATAGTAAGTGAATGTCAGTGATAGTAAGGGGGAAAAAAGTGAAGTGCAAGTGTTAGTTCAGGAAAGGCAATCCTGGGGGGGGGGGGGATTATTTAAGATACTCTTTGAAGCGGTAGAGACTAGAGGTGGCAGAACGGAGTACTCGAGTTGGGGTGAAAGGTTTGAGTATAGGCTGAAGGAAGAGAGGAGCAGTTCCTCTTGCTGCTCCATAGGCAAGTACCATGGTCTTGTTCCTTTAGACCAGATGGGAGATGACAAGTGCCTGGATTAGGACCTGTGTCGCTTCCTGTTTGAAGTAAGGTCATACTCTACGGATGTTGTAGAGCATGAACCTGCAGGAGCGAGTGACTGTTTTCAGATAACTACAGGGTGTTGTCCAGGGTCACGCCAAGGTTCCTTGCACTCTGGGAGGGGGAATCCGTGGAGTTGTCAACTGTGATGGAGAGGTCTTGGAGCGGGAAAGCCTTCCCTGGAAGAAAGAGCAGCTATGTCTTGGGGGGGAAGGAGAAAAGTAGTTGAGTGTCATCCTCATAGCAAGGAGAGACCATGTGAGGACATGACTTGGTGTATTGGGTTGTTTCACCAATCCATTTTCCTGTTCTCTCACTTTCTCATTCTGAATAGCAGAAGTCTTGCAGGCTATATTATAGACACAATGATCACCTCACCGGTGACATATGAACCCTTCCTGTCCCTTTGTCTGCCCTGTCATGTGTATTCACTTCATCCTCTTCATTCCTATGAATAATATAAGGCTTCAACCAGAGAGCAGTTGCCTGTACTCTGCTTGTCTAGAGATTGAATTTCTTTCCACTATTATTCATCTTCTTCCTCCCCTGTCCTTCACAGGTGACCTGTATATAGGTGGCGTGGCCAAAGACACATATAAGGAGCTTCCCAAACTAGTTCACGCCAAGGAGGGCTTCCAGGGTTGCCTAGCATCGGTGGACCTGAACGGACGCCTCCCGGACCTGATGTCAGATGCCCTGGCATGTGTGGGCCAGATAGAGAGGGGCTGTGAAGGTAAACACACACACACACACACACACACACACACACCCTAACACACACTAACACACTCTAACACACACTAACCCTGGCATGTGTGGGCCAGATAGAGAGGGGCTGCGAAGGTAAACACACACACACACACACACACACACACACACACACACACCCTAACACACACTAACACACTCTAACACACACTAACCCTGGCATGTGTGTGCCAGATAGAGAAGGGCTGCGAAGGTAAACACACACACACACACACTAACACACGCTAACCCTGGCATGTGTGGGCCAGATAGAGAGGGGCTGCGAAGGTGAGAACTCAATCAATCAAATGTATTTCAGACCTTTTTACATGAGCATTTGTCACAAAGGGATGTAGAGTAACCTGGCCTAGGGTGACCCATCCTCTTCTGGCAGTAGCAGGTAGAAAAACAGAGATAAGACACACTGCCAACTATCAAAACAGAGATAAGACACCCTGGCCACTATCAAAACAAAAGATAATACACCCTGGCTACTACCAAAACAGAGATAAGACACCCTGGCCGCTATCAAAACAGAGATAAGACACCCTGGCCACTATCAAAATTGAGATAAGACACCATGGCCACTATCAAAACAGAGATAAGACACCCTGGCCACTATCAAAAAAGAGTCAAACGTTTTGACGTTATCGTTATTTTTGTACCCAATAAACTGGGGTAGCTTTGTAAACGGTTCCACACAACTGCAGCAGAGTACAGCTTTCTCCTATAGGACATCTCGTTTGTTACTTTGTCTCTCTGACATCTCTCCATCTTCTCTCTGTTGTCTGTCGTCTCTCCGTCGTCTCTCCGTTGTCTCTCTGTCGTTTCTCTGTCGTCTCTCTGACGTCTCTCCGTCTTCTCTCTGTCATCTCTCCTTCGTCTCTCCGTCTTCTGTCTGTCTTCTCTCTATCTTCTCTCTGACCTCTCTCTGACCTCTCTAAGTCTTCTCTCTGATGTCTTTCCATCTTCTCTCTGATGTCTCTCCGTCTTCTCTCTGTTGTCTCTCTATCTTCTCTCTGTCGTCTCTCCGTCTTCTCTCTGTCGTCTCTCTATCTTCTCTCTGTCGTCTCTCCGTCTTCTCTCTGTCGTCTCTCCGTCTTCTCTCTGACGTCTCTCCGTCTTCTCTCTGTCGTCTCTCCATCTTCTCTCTGACGTCTCTCTGTCTTCTCTCTGATGTCTCTCCATCTTCTCTCTGTCGTCTCTCCGTCTTCTCTCTGTCTTCTCTCTGACATCTCTCCGTCTTCTCTCTGTCGTCTCTCCATCTTCTCTCTGACGTCTCTCTGTCTTCTCTCTGATGTCTCTCCATCTTCTCTCTGTCGTCTCTCTGTCTTCTCTCCGTCTTCTCTCTGACGTCTCTCCGTATTCTCTCTGTTGTCTCTCTGTCTTCTCTATGACCCCTCTCCGTCTTCTCTCAGACGTCTCTGTCTTCTATCTGAGGTCTCTCCGTCTTCTCTCTGACGTCTCTCCGTCTTCTCTCTGACGTCTCTCCATCGTCTCTCCGTCTTCTCTCTGACGTCTCTCAGTCTTCTCTCTGATGTCTCTCAGTCTTCTCTCTGACGTCTCTCCGTCTTCTCTCTGTCGTCTCTCCATCTTCTCTCTGACGTCTCTCTGTCTTCTCTCTGATGTCTCTCCATCTTCTCTCTGTTGTCTCTCCGTCTTCTCTCTGACGTCTCTCCGTCTTCTCTCTGACGTCTCTCCATCGTCTCTCCGTCTTCTCTCTGACGTCTCTCAGTCTTCTCTCTGATGTCTCTCAGTCTTCTCTCTGACGTCTCTCCGTCTTCTCTCTGACGTCTCTCTGTCTTCTCTCTGATGTCTCTCCGTCTTCTCTCTGACGTCTCTCCATCTTCTCTCTGTTGTCTCTCTGTCTTCTCTCTTACCTCTCTCCGTCATCTCTCAGACGTCTCTGTCTTCTATCTGACGTCTCTCCATCTTCTCTCTGACGTCTCTCCATCTTCTCTCTGATGTCTATCCGTCTTCTCTCTGATATCTCTCCGTCTTCTCTCTGACGTCTCTCCGTCTTCTCTCTGTTGTCTCTCCGTCTTCTCTATGACCTCTCTCCGTCTTCTCTCAGACGTCTCTGTCTTCTATCTGAGGTCTCTCCGTCTTCTCTCTGACGTCTCTCCGTCGTCTCTCCGTCTTCTCTCTGATGTCTCTCCGTCTTCTCTCTGACGTCTCTCCATCGTCTCTCCGTCTTCTCTCTGACGTCTCTCCATCGTCTCTCCGTCTTCTCTCTGTCGTCTCTCCGTCTTCTCTCTGACGTCTCTCCGTCTTCTCTCTGTCGTCTCTCCATCTTCTCTCTGACGTCTCTCTGTCTTCTCTCTGATGTCTCTCTATCTTCTCTCTGTCGTCTCTCCGTCTTCTCTCTGTCTTCTCTCTGACGTCTCTCTGACGTCTCTCCGTCTTCTCTCTCTCGTCTCTCCATCTTCTCTCTGTCTCTCTGCCTCTCTCTCTGATGTCTTTCTCCTCTGGTCTCTCTGTCATCTCTCTGTCTTCTCTCTGTCTTCTCTCTGACGTATCTCTGTCTTCTCTCTGACATCTCTCTGTCTTCTCTCTGATGTCTCTCCATCTTCTCTCTGTCGTCTCTCCGTCTTCTCTCTGTTCCTTCTCTCTGGTCTGTTTTCTCTTGATGTCTCTCCATCTTCTCTCTGACGTCTCTCCGTCTTCTCTCTGACGTCCTCCTCTTCTCTCTCTCTATGTCTCTCTCCATCTTCTCTCTGTCGTCTCTCTCCGTCTTCTGTCTGTTCTTCTCTCTGTCGTCTCTCCGTCTTCTCTGACGCTCTCTCCGTCCTCTCTCTGATGTCTCTCCGTCTTCTCTCTGACGTCTCTCCGTCTTCTCTCTGACGTCTCTCTCTTCTTCTTCTTCTCTCTCTCCGTCGTCTCTCTGTCTTCTCTCTGTCGTCTCTCCGTCTTCTCTCTGACGTCTCTCCGTCTTTCTCTGTCGTCTCTCCATCTTCTCTCTGACGTCTCTCTGTCTTCTCTACTGATGTCTCTCTATCTTCTCTCTGTCGTCTATCCGTCTTCTCTCTGTCTTCTCTCTGACGTCTCTCTGACGTCTCTCCGTCTTCTCTCTCTCGTCTCTCCATCTTCTCTCTGACGTCTCTCTGTCTTCTCTCTGATGTCTCTCCATCTTCTCTCTGTCATCTCTCTGTCTTCTCTCTGTCTTCTCTCTGTCTTCTCTCTGACGTATCTCCGTCTTCTCTCTGACATCTCTCTGTCTTCTCTCTGATGTCTCTCCATCTTCTCTCTGTCGTCTCTCCGTCTTCTCTCTGTCTTCTCTCTGTCTTCTCTCTGATGTCTCTCCATCTTCTCTCTGACGTCTCTCCGTCTTCTCTCTGACGTCTCTCTGTCTTCTCTCTGATGTCTCTCCATCTTCTCTCTGTCGTCTCTCCGTCTTCTGTCTGTCTTCTCTCTGTCGTCTCTCCGTCTTCTCTCTGACGTCTCTCCGTCCTCTCTCTGATGTCTCTCCGTCTTCTCTCTGACGTCTCTCCGTCTTCTCTCTGACGTCTCTCCGTCTTCTCTCTGACGTCTCTCTGTCTTCTCTCTGATGTCTCTCCGTCTTCTCTCTGACGTCTCTCCATCATCTCCTGTTTCTATCTGTGTTTCCTGTTAATACAGTCTCTGACAACATTTCAGTGCTTTACTAACATCTGGTATATTCTGTCTTTTCCTTTCCTTACTGTTTTGCTGATTGATCAAGCATTGATGAAAGCTGACCTGCAAGGTATATAGCTTATTTTTGTTTGATACAGAGCCTGATACTCCCTCTTCCTCCCTCTGCATTTGATCCCCCCCCCCACACACACACACACACACACTGCCCCAACGCCCCCACACTGCCCCAACCCCCCCACACCACCCAAACTTCTACAACCACCACTTCCACCCTCACCCCCTCCCCCTCCAACTCAATGACAACTCAGTGTTACGCCACTCACTCCTGTGTCACAATAATTGGGTTTCAGCCCCATAGGGGAATACAAGGATCACTCACCTGTCTGCTATCCTATATCCTTGTGGAGATCTGATAGGATTTGACAGGTGTAAGCAATATATAAATAGCTCCACCTTGCACTCTGATAGGTTTGTGGGAAGTTTCATCAAGTTTCTTATACCAATTAAATGCTCTTGGGATTTCCACAAGGGCGTAGGTTCAAGGGGACGATCTGGAATTAGACCACCTCCATCATCTTGTGCTAGTTTATTATATTCACTCATGTTTATTTTGTCACATATTGTATACCTGTTACATACCATTATCTTATTGCATGGCTCATAGTCTTCATTGCCAAATATACATGTTACCCACTGCATGCATGGAATTACACCTAATCTATATATCATTGTGCAATTTTGAATCAAAATAGATAGGGTCTTAGCTACCTCATCTTTGTAAGATAGCAACCCTTGTTAACTGTGATAAGTGTGTCAAATTGTACTGTTGTTATCAGTAGATACTATGTTATTATTTCAATACTATATGTGTTTTATTCAGTACAGTATTTATTAATATTGTATATGGGCCAATAGGATGAAAACATATATGTTCTGTAAGTGTTAATCCACAAAGCGTAATTAATGATATTAACAATGTTTAATTGAATAAATTAGTAAATATTCATAATTAAACAGAATAATAATCATTACAACTAATTCACTACATCCACAACTGCTACAACTAATTAAAGTTACTAGACATTCTGAATAATATGAAGCATTTTTATTAAGACACTGTCTAATATCCTCTGTAGCTCAATTGGTAGAGCATGGCGCTTGTAACGCCAGGGTAGTGGGTTTGATCCCCGGGACCACCCATACGTAAAAATGTATGCACACATGACTGTAAGTCGCTTTGGATAAAAGTGTCTGCTAAATGGCATATTAATATACACTGAACAAAAACA